GAAGGGAAAAATGAATGGGGGGAAATCGGAGGGAGAGATGACCATGACAGACTGGACTCCTGAGAAACAAACTGATGGTTTTAGAGGGGAGGGGTGTGAAGGGATGGGTTAGCCCGGTGATGGGTATTAAGGAGAGCTATATTACATGGAGCACTGAATGCGATATGCAAACAGTGAATCATGGAACATTACATCAAAAACTAATGATGTACTGTATAGTGACTAACATAACATAATAATAAAAAAAGGCTTTAACAAAACAAAACAAAACAAAACAAAAACAAAAAAAAAGGAAGAAGAAGAAAAACAACAGCAATAACAACAACAAAAAGAATGTCATCAGACAGGTGAATAGAACTGAGTCATACACCAGATTTTGGGTGCATTTTGGTCTGTTAGAAGAAACTGCATCCCAAATTGTAAAGAAAGAAAAACTTATATAGAAAAGTAAGATTAAATACAATGAAGGGATAGAATGTAACTGTAAAAATAAAACTTAAAAAAATTTTAAAAAGGAGTTGATAAAATAAGAAATTGGTTGAAAAAGGAAAGAAAAGAATTAAAAAAAAAATAAAGTTGAAAGACTCAAGAATCATGGAGAAAAAAGCCATGTGTTCTATGTGCTGTATTCCCCTAGCACTGGAGTTTTGCTGTTCTCATTGATTGGTAAACTTGGTCTTGGCTAAATGTTCTTGCTGATATTCTGTGGGAGGGGCCTGTTGTGTTTATTCTCAAGTGTATTTGCCCCAGGCGGAATTGTACTGCCCTTGCCAGGGGGCCAGGCTAAATAATATGCTCCTGTTTGTTCAATGTGGCTTTTGTTCCCTGAAGGCTTTCTGCACAGTTTTAGAGGATGAGAATGAAAATGGCGGCCTCCCAATCTCTGGCCCTGGAGCCAAAAGCCCAGAGCCCCATGCTTCAGTGAGCCCTAAGAGAAAAGCAGTAAATCACTCCTCTCTCCCTGGTCTCTGGCCACCCTCCGTGCTCACCCGGCCTGTGACCAAGTGTTTCTATCTCAGGCATATGACCCCATTTCAAGTATCCAAACCCTGCAGACCCCTGTGGCACACTTACCCCTCCTTCTGGGGGGGAAGGGGGATTGTCACTGGATCTGCCACTTGTTGGGTCCCTCCCTGTTCAGAGAGCTCTGGCCCAGCCCTGCTGTGGTTTGTGGTTTATGGCAACCCCGAGCTGAGAGCCCACTCATGGGCTCGCTGATTGCAGCCAGTTTCCCCACTCTGATGCCTGGGAGCTCTGCCACACTCAGGCATCCCTGGTCTTTCTGTGACCCTGAGAATCCTGAGACTACACTGTCCCAGCTCGAGTTCTGTCCCTGCTTAGTCACCTGAGCAATGTCTCTCACCAGAGCAGATTTCTAAAAGTTCTGGTTTTGTGCTCTGCTGCTGTATCACTTGCTGGTAGCTAGCTGACGGAAGGTCCCACCCCCCATGGTCTATCTTCCCATATATCACCTCAGATTCATTTCTCTGCACCTCCTAACTTGCAGAAAGTGGTCATTTTTCTATTGGTAGAGTTACAGCTATTCTTTTCTTAGATCTCCAATTGAGTTCGCAGGTGTTCAAAATGATTTGATAGTTAACTGGCTGAACGAAATTAAGGTCTCCTACTCGTCCACTGTCTTGGACTTCTCTCTCTTTTCTTGCTGTTTTGGTAGTAAAGCTGTTTTCTGTGTTGTCCAATCTTCTTACTTGTGAGATCATAATTGTGAAACCAGAAATAAGACCTATGGCACTGGGTTGGCCCCCACCTCACTCATTCCATGCAGAGAGACTCTAGAGCCAACCTCAGGGTTTCTGAGATATGCTGTGTCCCTTCTCCACATTTTCCTTTGCCTCTGTCTCCCTCATCCTCAAAAATATTTTTTGTTCACCTCTACGATGCTTGACATGATGTGTCATCTTCATGGTTCAAACCATCTTCACTGGTTTCAAACACAAACTGACTAATATCTGATTCGTTTTACTGAATATTTGGGAGAATGTGTGCCCTCTCTTCCTTCTCTCTCTTTTTTTTTCTTCCTTTCACAGTGGAGGAACGGATGCAACTTTCTTGTCCCATGCAGAGTGGTTCCCACCTAAACTGACATCCTAAACTCCTAACTTCTATCACAAACTGAATACCATGGAATTACTTCTGAACAAATGCCAATTCCCCTAAAGCAGTCCTGGTGAATACAGTTTCTTCTCTTTCTCCACATGAGAAAAGCAAAAGAATTCAAGATAAAAGAATAAGAAAAAAGTAAAAACTGATTTCAGTAGGTAAACAGAAGACTCCAATCTGCACTGAAGGGAATAGGCACTGTAGAAAGAGAACTTGAAAATTTAGGGCAGGCATGGGTAGTCAGATAAGGTAAGTAACATTCTGGTTGAAAAGAAAAGAGAAGGAGATTTGTGATGACTCAGCCAAGACAAGGGGTGTTAGACTCCTGGTTGGCTGGGACTTTTGGTGCTGAGTTTTTTTGTTTTTTTTTTAGGAGAGTCTCAGACATCGGATGGCATTATGGGTAAGAGGAGTAGAAAAGTGGAAGTCTCTTTGGATCTTTATTTTATATTTGTTTCTTGGTTTTGGGTTTTTAGTTGCATGTGAGAACTTAGTGTTATCAGTTGGTAGACTAGTTAAGGTTACTGAGTTTATAGAATCTAACAGCTCCAGAGAAAGTTGTGTCTCTATTATGTGGAAATCATTATTGGTTACCAAACAAAACTATCACCACTTTTTAAAAGCTTGGTTTTTGTTGCAAAGTAAGAAATTATAATTGTGCTAAATTTTCAGTAAAAATGTGTCAAGCCACTCTACTATATGTTGCTCCCTAATTCTGTTGCCCAGATGGCTCTAAGACTGATCAGACCAGGATCACTTGTTTTGTCTTGCTTCCACATATAACTTGATAATCCTTTTAAACTATAGGGAAGTATTATTGTGTCTTTACTTCCTTAGGAATGATGTTCTCCAAATTCATGAATTCTTTCCTTCATATTTAATTCTAAGAGTCACACAAAATAAGAAAAAGAAACATAAATGGAGATGCCATGTGTTGCTCAAAGGCAACTTGATTTGGTAAATTACTTGAGAGAAGGATTCTGGGACGCCTCCCACACTCTCATCTGGAAGGTAATGAGAAGAAATGAGTCCCCACTGGATGAGGCCATCAGTGTCAATGGGATAACAGCTGGAATATATTTAGGGTCTTAATTTAGAGTGGTAAAGAAACTATTTCCACAAATAGATGTAAGAAGTGTCAAAATTGACTCTGCTTTGGAAGGAAATAAAGTGAGAGTCCTAACAAATTTCATTATATAAGTAAACCCACAGAATTTTACAGTTTACTGTTAAAGTAAAAACTTTTTGGAAATTGCCTTTTTGGAGATTTTACCATATTGTTGGCTTATAGTCCATTTTTTCATTTTGTTTTATTTCATTTTATTTCTAAAAATCAATTTATTTTGCTTAGCTGAATATCCAGTTCTCCTGGTAGAGGTAATGAGGACTCCTTCTGAGTCCTCCCAACTCCAGGGTCTATTCCCAGAGGCAAGCACTTCTAACTGCTTGAAGATGTCTGCTGGTAATCTTCTCAACTCTGGTATTATGTTTAGGCCAGTGCTTTATCTATATAGGTCATATATATTGAGTCTTCAGTATGACATCAGAGACTTTAGTGTCCTTCACACTAACACTACCTCTCTTAACCATTCTAGTTGTAGAGAGCCATTAGTGCCCTCAAGTCATTAGCATGAATCTTCATGTTAATCCCAACAACACAAAGCATTCTCTACTCATACCCCATTAATGTAGAGAAGGATATTCATATCCTTATTTTTCCCTCCAATTTTCTTTCATATTTGCCTCCATATGAATGTTGATGACATGTATATTGGTATAGTCTCTTGGGTAAATACTTATGTCTGTTAGAGTCTGTCAAAGCAAACCATTAAGAACATTTAAATGATTATGACTAGGTAGGGCTGTTAAATATAGAGCCAAGGCACGTGCCTGAGTTCCATTTCCTTCCCTGTGGGTCAGTGGCTTGGCCTTTGTGATGTTAGGAGGCAATGTGCTGCTATCCAACCAGGTAGTTTTTCTTTTCTTGTAGCTCATTGATAACTCAGAGTCTCAACATATCTATATGCTTATTTGCCATTTGCGTTTTCTTTTCGGCAATCTGCCTATGGTTCTCCTTTGGCAAATTTTTGGATTTGCTGTTAGCTTTACTCAGTAACCTTAACTAGTCTACCAACTGAACCAAATTTTTGACTGGGTTTTTTTTTTTTTTTCTTATTTGTAGTTAGGTATTCTTTATATAATCTGAATATGATGTATTTATGGTATCTGTATTCATACACAAGTTTTTAGTTTTGAAGGAGTAAGATATCTCAATCTCTTCCTCTAAGACTATCACTAATTGAATATGACGGCCTTGCTTTCTCCAAAGTCATAAACATGGCCTATCTTTTCTAAGTTGCCTTTCTTTTCTTTTCTTTTAAGATTTTATTTATTTACTTGAGAGAGAAAGACAGAGCATGAGCAGGGGAAAGGGGTAGAGGGAGAGGGAGAATCAGACTCCCTGCTGAGCTAGGACCCCCCAACATTGTGCTCAATCCCAGGACCTGGAGATCACAACCTGAGCTGAGGACAGATTCTTAACTGACTGCCCCTCTAAGTTGCCTTTATTTTCATACTAACTCTAAAATTAATCTGGGATTTGCTCTTATAAATGATGTGAATGAGCTATCTCACTATTTTCTTTCCAAATTGGTACTCAATTTTAGTACCTGTATTTACTGAAAAATCTTTTTTCTTCATGGTTTTAAATGATATCTTTATCATCCACCATATCAATTCCTGAATTAATCATACAGCTTTGGGGGCTATCCTGTTCCACTAACCTGCAAATTCTGTGTCAATACTATATTGTTTAATCTCCGGATTTCTAATAGGTTTAAGTCTCAGACAGTTAAGTTCCTATCTTTGTTTTAATTTTCAACATTGTGCAGTGGCAGTATCGTAGCCAATGAGGTTTATCCAAGGTGCAATTATTGCTAATTTTCAACATTGTTTTAGCTCCACTAACACACACACCTATCAACACGTGCTTTAGGTTTAGTTTATCAGTTTCTGCTAAGGACCCTGTAGATTTCTAATTGGAATTGCACTGAGTCTGAAGATTCATTTGGGGAGAAATAGCATCTTCCCCTCACATTGCTTCTTGAATGTCTATGAATATCATCTCTTGGTCTATTCACTTAGCTAGTCACACAGGTCTTTCAGTAAAGTTTTATTTTCTCCATAAAGTTGTTGGCATCAGTTTATTGGCATCTTGGGAGGAAGGAAAGGCAAATGCTTATGAAACAATAGACAGATCATCTAAGCAGAAAGTCAACAAAGAAACAAGAGCTTTGAATGACACACTAGACCAGATGGACCTCAGAGATATATACAGAACACTCCACCCTAAAACAACAGAATACTCATTCTTCTCCAGTGCACACAGAACTTTCTCCAGAATAGACCACATAGTGGGTCACAAATCATGTCTCAACCAATACCAAAAGACTGAGATTATTCCCTGCATATTCTCAGACCATAATGCTTTAAAACTGGAACTCAATCACAAGAAGAAATTTGGAATAAATTCAAACACTTGGAAACTAAAGACCACTTTGCTTAAGAATGTTTGGGTCAACGAGGAAATCAAAGAACTTAAACAATTCATGGAAACCAATGAGAATGAAAACACATTGGTCCAAAACCTATGGGATACTGCAAAGGCGGTCCTAAGGGGGAAATACATAGCCATCCAAGCCTCACTCAAAAATTAGAAAAATCCTAAATTCACCAACTAACTTTACACTTTAAAGAACTGGAGAAAAAGCAACAAATGATGCCTAAGCCATACATTAGAGGAGAAATAATTAAGATTAGAGCAGAGATCAATGAATTAGAAACCAGAAATACAGTAGAGCAGATCAATGAAACTAGAAGCTCGTTCTTTGAAAGAATTAATAAGATCGATAAACCACTGGACAGACATATCCAAAAGAAAAGAGACAGGACCCAAATTTATAAAATTATGAATGAAGGGGAAGAGATCATGACTAACACCAAGGAATAGAAACAATTATTAGAAATTATTATCAACAACTATATGCCAATAAATTGAGCAACCTGAAAGAAATGGATGGCTTCCTGGAAACCTATAAACTACCAAGACTGAAACAGGAAGAAATTGACAACATGAATAGGCCAATAACCAGCAACGAGATTGAAGCAGTGATCAAAAACCTCCCAAAAAACAAGAGTCCAGGGCCTGATGGATTCCTTGCGGAATTCTACCAAACATTCAAAGAAGAAAGAATACCTATTCTCCTGAAGATGTTTCAAATAATAGAAAAAAAAAGGGAAAGCTTCCAGACTCATTCTATGAAGCCAGCATTACCTTGATCCCCAAATCAGGCAAAGACCCCCATCAAAAAGGAGAATTTCAGACCAATATCCCTGATGAATATGGAGTCCAAAATTCTCAACAAAATCCTAGCTAATAAGATCCAACAGTACATTAAAAGGATCATCCACCACGACCAAGTGGGATTTATCCTTGGGATGCAAGGGCCATTCAACATTTGCAAATCAATCAGTGTGATAGAACACATTAAAAAGAGGAGAGAGAAAAACCATATGGTCCTCTCATTTGATGCAAAAAAAGCATTTGACAAAATACAGCATCCTTTCCGGATTAAAAGTCTTCAGAGTATAGGGATAGAGGGAACATTCCTCAAGTTCATAAAATCCATCTATGAAAAACTCACAGCGAATATCATTCTCAATGGGGAAAAGCCGAGAGCCTTTCCCTTAAGATCAGGAACACGTCAAGGATGCCCACTCTTGCCACTATTGTTCAACATAGTACTAGAAGTCCTAGCAACAGCAATCAGACAACAGAACAGAAATAAAATGTTTCAAATTGGCAAAGAAGAGGTCAAACTCTCTTTCTTCACAGTGGACGTGATACTTTATGTGGAAAACCCAAAAGACTGCACCCCCAAATTACTAGAACTCATACAGCAATTCAGTAATGTGGCAGGGTACAAAATCAATGCACAGAAATCAGTTGCTTTCTTATACACTAACAACGCAACTGTAGAAAGAAGAAATTAGAGAATCAATTCTATTTACAATAGCACCCAAAACCATAAGATACCTCAGAATAAACCTAACCAAAAAGGTAAAGGAACTACAGAACACTCATGAAAGAAATTGAAGAAGACACAAAAATATAGAAAAACATTCCATGCTCATGGATTGGAAGAATAAACATTGTTAAAATGTCTGTGCTGCCCAGAGCCATCTATACCTTCAATGCCATCCTGATCAAAATACCAATGGCATTTTTCAAAGAGCTGGAACAAACAATCCTAAAATTTTTATGGAACCAGAAAAGACCTCAAATCACCAAGGAAATGTTGGAAAAGGAAAACAAAGCTGGAGACATCACATTGCCTGATTTCAAGCTATATTACAAAGCTGTGATCACCAAGACATCATGGTACTGGCACAAAAACAGACATATAGACCAATGGAACAGAATAAAGAGCCCAGATATGGACCCTCAACTCTATGGTCAAATAATTTTCAACAGAGCAGGAAAAAACATGCAATGGAAAAAAGAGAGTCTCTTCAATAAATGGTGCTGGGGGCGCCTGGGTGGCTCAGTTGGTTAGGCGACTGCCTTCAGCTCAGGTCATGGTCCTGGAGTCCCAGGATAGAGTCCCACATTGGGCTCCCTGCTCGGCAGGGAGTCTGCTTCTCCCTCTGACCCTCCTCCCTCTCATGCTCTCTGTCTCTCATTCTCTCTCTCTCAAATAAATAAATAAATAAATAAAATCTTTAAAAAAAATAAAATAAATGGTGCTGGGAAAATTGGACAGCCATATACAGAAGAATGAAATTCACACCATACACAAAGATAAACTCAAATGGATGAAAGACCTCAATGTGAGACAGGAGTCCATCAAAATCCTACAGGAGAACACAGGCAGTAGCCTCTTTGACATTGGTCACAGCAACTTCTTTCAAGACACATCTCCAAAGGCAAAGGACACAAAGGGAAAATGAACCTTTGGGACTTCATCAAGACAAAAAGCACAGCAAATGAAACAGTCAACAAAACAAAGAGGCAACCCACAGAATGGGAGAAAATTTTTGCAAATGACACTACAAAGGGCTGATATCCATGATCTACAAAGAACTTCTCAAACTCAACACCCAAAAACCAAATAATCAAGTCAAAAAATGGGCAGAAGATATGAGCAAACACTTCTCCAAAGAAGACATACAAATGGCTAACAGACACATAAAAAATGTTCATCATTAGCCATCAGGGAAATTGAAATCAAAACCACATTGAGATACCACCTTACACCAGTTAGAATGGCAAATATTGACAAAGCAAGAAACAACAAATGTTGGAGAGGTTGTGGAGAATGGGGAGCCCTCTTACACTGTTGGTGGGAATGCAGGTTGGTACAGCCACTTTGGAAAACAGTGTGGAGGTTCCTCAAAAAATTAAAAATAGAGCTACCCCATGACCGAGCAATTGTACTACTGGGTATTTACCCCAGACAGAGATGTAGTGAAAGCAAGGGCCATATGCACCCCAATGTTCATAGCAGCAATGCCCACAATAGGCAAACTGTGGAAAGAGCTAAGATGCCCTACAACAGCTGAATGGATAAAGAAGATGTGTTCCATATATACAATAGATTATTACTCAGCCATCAGAAAGGATGACTACCCAACTTTTGCATCCACATGGATGGGACTGGAGGAGATTATGCTATGTGAAATAAGTCAAGCAGAGAAAGTCAATTATCATATGGTTTCACTTATTTGTGGAATGTAAGGAATAGCATGGAAGCCATTAGGAGAAGGAAGGGAAATATGAAGGGGGGTAATCAGAGGGGGAGATGAACCATGAGAGACTATGGACTCTGAGAAACAAACAGATGGTTTTAGAGGGGAGGGGGGTGGGGGGATGGGCTAGCCTGGTGATGGGTATTAAGGACACGTATTGCATGGAGCAGTGGGTGTTATATGCAAACAATGAATCACGGAACACTATATCAAAAACTAATGATGTACTGTATAACATAACATAATAAAATTTAAAAAAAGAATTAATTAATAAAATATCTTTTCATTTGCAAGGGAAACAACTAAATACATCAAAATACTTGGCTTTGGTAATTTAAATAAGGGAGGAGCAAACACACTGGATTAGTAGATATTTCTTGAAGGACAGTTTGTCTTCAACTTGAGAAGTGAAAAACCTTAGTCATTTATAATGTTTCACCTAATATCTTCCTATGAAAAGATTCTAGTAATCCATTTAAGAGAGAAAACGTTCCTAACCTGATGTTGAGGCTGTTTCCAAGTAGGTGTATTGCACTTGCTAATTTCCATTCACACTGAATCTAATAAGAACATGTTATTTGTATCTTTTTCACAATCTCGGTTGCCTTTGGTAAACCTTTCCCAGAAAAGGTTCCTATGTAATTTTTTACCTTAATCCATGTGTAGGATCCTTCTGCCAGGTTTGGTTCCATATGTGAGATTTTACTTAATAAACTTAAAAGCACTCATTCTTTTCCAGACACTATTCTAAATGCTTTCAAATAATCATGAACTAATTTAAGTCTTAAAACAACCCTGGGAGGCAAGCACCTTTATAATCTTCACTTTGCAAATGAGGTGCCTGAGGCTCAAGGGGATTAGTGACTGGCTTCCTTGGTCAAGATTTCAAAGACAACACATGGTGAGGTCAGCCTCTGCACTGAGCACACTGCCCCCTCCTCTGGACTCTTAGCAACTACACTTGCTCCCTCAATCCCTGAAATCCATTGTGTAGACAAGGACACATAAAATGCTCAAGAATTCCTTTTTAATTTATACAAAATAAAACTATATTCAGGATTTTAGAATGTGAAAACTGGAAGGGATTAAGGTACTGATCTAATCCAGCCTCTTCATTCTACCACCAAGGCCGTGGACTTTAAGAGATCAAATTTAAATAGTTGCCCAAGTCAAAGGAATGTAATCTACTTCTATTTCATGAAGATAAATAAGGTT